AAAAATAGTTTAGAAATTGATTATTGTAATAATAAAATTCTAGAACATTTTTAATAAAATATATATATTATTTTGAAATTAATAATAAAGACTAACCAAAAAGAAATTTGCGGCAATTGTAAAAATATTACTTTGGTGTGTATATTTGCAAGAATGCCACTTAAAGGTGTTCATTTGCAAAAATGCTACTAAATATGGATTTTAAACCCTAAATCTTAAAATTGTAAACCCTAAAAAATGTTTTGACCCCTAAAACCAATAAAATCATGAGAAATTTCAAAAAATGCCACTTTTCAAGTGCCACTTTACAAAAATGCCACACTTTTGAAATCTTTACAAAAATGCCACTTTTTCAAAATTCTTTTTTTTTTATATTATTTATGTTTGGGTTAATTATGTTCTATTATGATTTAGTTTTGAGTGTTTCGAGGGTTTTAGGTGTTAAAACATTTTTTATGGTTTAGAATTTTAAGATATAGGCTTTATAAATCTATAATTAGTGATATTTTTGTAAATGAACACCCCCTAAGTGGCATTATTGCAAATGTGCACACAAAAAATGATATTTTTGTAATTGCTCCTAAAATCATCAAAATTAAACCCTAATACAACATAGTTAACCCAAACATAAATGATATAATGAAATATTTTTTTTTGAAACAGTGGCATTTTTGCAAAAATTTTGAAAATGTGGCATTTTTGAAAAGTGGTATTTTTAAAAATTTCTCAAGAAATTTTGATATATTTTATGAAAAAACTTTCCAAAATTATAACAACAAATATTATTATTATTTTTTTCACATAAGACAATTTGAAAGTAACAAATTTTTTTTTTAGTTTGAAAGTAACAAAAAACATTTTTAATCCGTGTTTCGTATAAAAAATTTATGTTTATATATTTTAATGTTTTAAAATATTAAATAATTTATTTATATTCTAAATTCTACTTAAGATATTCGGACAAGCTAAATTTAACATAATTTATACTTATGATACAATTCAAATAAATATGAGTTATACATAATTATTTAATAAATAAGTACTCTTTAAGCTATTAGTCTAAATCATTTCTATTTATATAGTAAACTTCATATTTTATATATAAAGTTAGAAGAAAATAACAAAATATCAATATCAATATCTTTACAATTTAAGTAAACTTAAAAAAACATCAAATCTAAGTGTCTAAATTCGGAATTGAATCTAACAAAAAACAATATTATCCATCATAATTAATATTTTCGTTTTAGATATTGTTATTCAAAAATAAAATAATTCACATGGATTTAACCAAATGGATATTGAACACAATTGATCACAATATGTCGTGTTTTGTTTTGTCAAATTTTTAAGCTTAAAAGGAATTTACACACAGTAGTAGTATTTTGGTGTAATGTATTAACGACAAAGTCGACATTCCAACATCAATAGAAATGGAGAAACTTTTAGAAACGATAAAATCTTACTTGGTTATTACGATATAAAATTAGATCCAATGACCAATTCAGTTGTTTTTTGTTAATTAAATTGTAAATGAAGTTATTGTCAGTGTTATTAATAAAAATAAAATTAGTTTCAACAAACAGAAAAGAATAAAAGATATTATTTCATATAAAGAAAATTGAACTTAAATTCAAATTGAACGTCATTTATAAATTTTAACTAAATAATATTTTTTTAATTTATTTGATTTCTAAAAAATATTTAACCGCGTTACACACGCAGGGTAGTCACCTATTATTTGACACTAATTCACCAAATATTTTATTTGGCGAGAGATTAGAAAGAACCAAATGTTTATAATGAGATTTCTTTCATGTTCCAATCAGACTAAGAAGCCTTTACTGATTTTGCCAGTACCAGTTATGGGCCTTTAGAGCCCATTTACACAACAAAAACAGAGTTATAAAAAAAGCTACCAAGTCCATTAGGGCTACTTCTCGTCTTCCTCGTTGCAGAGATAGTAGT